GAGCCACTCACAGCGCTTGAGACTACAAAGCTCCTAAGCACCGGTCGCTCTGATTGGTGGTGTCCAATCGAGACGTGGTCAATCGGGATCACCCCGTCTCAAGCACTGTGAATGGCTCGTGTCCAATTGAGCCGTGTCCAACTGGGTGCCACCCGGTCCAGACCCTTATCGTTGAGAAAAACTGCGATGTTATCAAGGGCTTTTTGTACCCTGGAAAGTGCTTCTAGGGGATTTCTATCTGCGGCAAAGATGACAATATCATTCGCGTACTGAAGGAAGGAGGCTTCCCCCACACATTCCCTGATCCTGCTGAGGGAAAAGTTGAAGAGTAAGGGACTGAGAACTGATCCTTGAGAGGTGTCCTCTATAAGCAAAGTATTTGTCTCTGATATTTCCGTCTTCTACGAAGTGCACCGTCCTAGCAATAATCAAATTCTCCACAAATTTCCTGATCACGGCTGGTGTTCCGGCGCTTTTGAGCTCATTCATGATCGCGGAAGGGTGTACGTTGTCGAACGCTCCGGTGATGTCAAGGAAGGCAGCCACCATGAACTCCCTGTTGGAGACGGCTCCTAGGGTTAGGTTAGGTTTGTGAAAGTTACTAAACTGTCATTACATGACAGACTAGGACGGAATCCCATCTGTTCTTGAGGGAGGAGGGATTGTGACTCCATCAGCCAAAGTAGTTTCCAATATACGATTTTTTCCAATAGTTTTAGGATACAAGAGAGCAAGGAAATAGGCCTGACTCCCGAGCTTCCCGCTTTGGGGATGAATACAACCAAAGACACCTTCCATTCGTCTGGGACAGACATCCCTCGGTCAATAATCTGTTAAAGAGATTCACTAGAACCCAGTGAGAAATGACAATGAAATCGATATCGAATCGACGTCGATTCGACGTCGATTTGATGATTTCGATGTCGAATCGACATCGATTCGATGTCGATTCCATTATCATTTCTCACTGGGAAGTTCCTTATATTTGTCTGGCAAGTTTGCCAGCATGTTGTTGCTGATTCTGTCTAGGCCTGGAAGCAATTTCTTCTTCATGGTGGAAATTGCACGTTCCAGATGCCTCACGGTGATTGGGGAGTCAATTTCCTCGAAGATAGCGCCGGAATTGTTGTCCTTGTTCATTTCCTCTAGACTCGTTGAAATATCTTGAAAACATGATGGCGGGCATAGTTTCTGAATGGCTGCGTAGTCTGTCTCTCTTTAGAGGGGTCAGCCGTGTGACTTGAGAGTGACATATTACCTCGTTTGAAGGCTCTGATAAGTGACCAGATTTCTGAGGTCGGAGTTTTAGAGTCAAATGATCCGATAAATTCTCTCCATCCTTTCCTCTTTTCTCTGAAAAGAACCTTAGGGCACTTTACCCTCACTTTTTCAAAATTATGAAAGTTTTCGATTGTAGGAATTCTCTGCCAAATTCGGGCCGCCTCCCTGCGTTTGATGATTGCTTCCTGGCATAAATCAGTCCACCACGGAGGGATGGCTCTCTCATTGGATATTGGTACGGTGCCGGACTTGTAGCGTTAGTGGAAGAGGAGCGGCACATTACTGCCGTGTCGACTAAATGATTCGTTAATCTGGAGTATGCCTCTTTTTTATCAGAAGGTAAGTGACTAATAAAAGAGTCATATGAGCTGGCGAGGACGCTATGAAACGCAGTTAGCTCTTTTTCATCGAGCTTGATTTTATAGGCGTATCGTTGTCGCAAGATCAAGCTAATACCGATTCTGACTGTGATGGGGAAATGATCGCTGCCCCAGGTGTCCTCTTCTGTGCGCGCCTCACATAGAGGAGCCATGTTTGCAGTAGCTATAATCAGGTCTATGATTGAAGGACCCGAACTAGGCGGAAGGAGCAGAGTAGGTCGTTGGTCGTTTAGAATGTATGCGTGATGATCCTCTGTTGCTGATAGGCTAAATTTGCCGGCGCGGTCTGTGTTTGAGCAGCCCCATTGAGAGTGATGTGCGTTGTAGTCACCAACAAGAATGCAGTTGGTACTGGGGTCTCCAAATTTCATCAGATAATCGTAAAATGGAGCGGGAATATTGTGGTTTGGGTGCCGGTAGATGTTGACGATTGTAAATTTCTCGTTGTCTGAAGACACTTCCACAGCAAGCATCTCTACTGAGTCGTCCTTCAAATCTGACAGGTTGATGATGCTGAAAATGATATTGTATCTGATTAGAATGCAGATTCCTCTCGTACCTGGTTTGGTAATGTCGGCTCTTAAAGCATAAAAGCCGCGCAAAGAAAAAATAGAGGAAGGAGAGAGCAGCGACTCTTGGATGCAAATAATGTCATAATTTTTAGAGATCACCTGGAGTTGAGGAAGCTTACTTCTGGCCCCACAACAGTTCCATTGTAGGATGTTGAAAGAGCGAGAGTTTCTTTTGTTATTAGTGATAGAATCTTGCCACTGTATTGCCTGCGATGCTGGCACTGACAGCATCACATCCAATACGGTGGCAAGATTCTAATCCAGCTAGCAATCCAGTAGGAAAACAAGCATCGTGTGCCGCCGGCTTTATTATTAGTTACTGAAGTTCCAGTGGAGTCAAAAGAGTTGGATCCAATACCGGTTATTAGCCCAAGGAGGAAGTCAAGGTTAAGGTTAGAACTTCTGATAAAATTGGCTAACCTTGATAATATTTCAATTACTGGATCGTTGAAATTTGCTGGTTATTGAATAAGTTCTTGAAACTAGATAAAAGATTTATTATTTGCTCAAATATATTGTTGGCGAAGCTAAGTTTCTCGTTCCCTGAAGAGACAGAATTCTTTCTCCCATGAGGTCGGCCGTTAGGTTGGCACAAAATTTTATTGTGTTGCTGCCGCAATGTGGAATTGGTGGCCTTGAAGGCTGACGGATGACCGCCGCCACGATGCCCCCTAGACGTCTCCAGGCGGGCGCCATTTGCCGAAAGAGATTCCACGTTAACGATCCCCGGTTTTCAGAGAGATCGCCCCGGCGATGATGCACTTGCTGCTTCCGCGTAGCTAAGGTGGCGTGTTGTCCCAGCGTCTCCGTGTTTGTCAGAGTTCAAGTTGGAAAATCTATTAAATGTGTTGTACCTGGAAAAACCTCGAATATCGTTGTGCAGAGACTGTTGGGTGTTGTTGATATATGGGAAGTTACGAGGATTTATCGTAATGGAAACACTAACAGGATTGTTGTTTGCGGCAATTATTCTTTTTGCTTCGACATGAAGTATGTTTTCATATGCAGCAAGGTTGATGACTTCCTTATGATTCCTGACGACCGGGCAATCGAATGAGATTGCTAGATGTTCTCCGCCGCAGTTAATACATCTAGATGGTAGTGATCTGTGCTCGCATTCTATGGATTTTTCATGTTCTTGACCGCAATAGAGGCATCGCGGTTTTGAACTTTTATTATTATTAGTCCTTGCTTACGTGCCCCACTCTGTAGAATACATAACATATTCTAAGCTTGGGCACATATGGCTCCACTGTATATTTAGCATTGAATAAAGTTATATCGCTAGGTAATTGCTGTCCTGCAAATTTTATACAGAGAGTTCTCGATGGGATATAAGTGGTTTCGTGGTTGATAGTCATTCGTCGGTTTAGTCTTTGAACCTCTAGAATCTTGACTTGGAATCGAATGCTGTCCTTGATGCAATCTAAAGAGAGTGTTTGATCGATACCCTTGATGATGCCTGTTCTGAGAACGCGGTACGATGAGATGAAGGCCCTGATCTTGTATTTTTCGAAGGCCGAGTTGTTAACTAAGCGGTTAGTGGCTGTCGTCGACCTAACCTCTACTATGGCCTTGCCACTTCCTAATCGCTTAATCGAGAAAATGTCCGCATTAGCGATTTCTGATACTATTTTAGACAGAACGGAAAAATGCAAGGTGGAGGATTTGTCCGAGTAAATGTATACCGCGTAAGGCGATGCGTCCAAGTCGGAATATTGATAATTAGTTTTGGATGGTACAACTTGTTTGATTTGCGATGAGGTGGGATTACTCGCTTTGTCAGAAATGGCGGAGGGAGACGTAACTGCGTCGCTAACTTGACTGGGACGTCTTCGCAGCCTTCGATTTAAGGTTGTGTGAAGTATCCTGTTGTCTGCCCCTTTTCCTGGAAGCTTGAATGAATTCTTTGTCCATCGGGAGAGGCGTGCTGCAACTTTCTCTTGGAGACTGCATAGTATTAGCCACGTGCTCGGACGTAGTTTCCGCCATTAAGTTGAAGAGTGATGTTCCGATCATGCTAAAATCTAAATTAGACTGTAAGTCCTGTCCATTTGCAATGTTGGAGGACAGCAAGGAATTAAGGGAAGAAGGAAGGGCCGAGGAAAGCGACTGGTCGATCCAGCCGCTAGTCGGA